AGTTGGTGCCACTGCTCCTGGATTGAAGCCAAGTGGTGACAGTCAACATGCTGTGATGTCACTGAAATACTATTTGAACCTAAAACAAACCCATCTCGCTTACTCAGTTGTCATTTGGCTGATTGTGTCTTCTGTACCCATCAGTTTGGATCTTTGCTCTCTCATCCACTCCTATTTTGGGTACAGACTACAGAAGTGAGGTGAAATGGGGTGAAATACCCAGTGACTTAAATCTGTTCTCAGAGATCAAGCAGCTGTGAACAAACTTACCTCAAACAATAAACTAAACATTTTCCATGATAGTTGCAAGGCAAATATGTTCCCTTCTGCACTGCAGTTTTCTGAAATAATGTGTAATATAAACAAGAAAATAGTCCTGTACATTTTCAGTCTTAGTTGAGGCTGCGTATGAAGATTTCTTACAGATTGGTCTAGAGTATGTCAGGGCACTTATTGGATCAGAGTGCATTCTATGGCAACTATGGTAGCTATGCATAAGAGTTTCTTGGGCTGTATCAGACAATAACTGACAATATTTATATTGTACATGATTAGACAATTTATCTCACTTTTTTACATACTCAGATACTCAAGGAATAGCATTGTTTCAAGCAGATTTTTGCCAGTTCTTTCCTTGTCATCCTCATGTTTTGGCCTGCCGTTCATTGTGGCTGTAAAAAACACTTGAAATTATCATTGCTGATTATTATGCATTTAATTACTGAATCATGTTATTACTCCATGCTTTGTTAAAAAGACACCAGAGCCTTCCTATTTAATCTAGCAGGAAGCAAGTAGAATTACACGCAGTGAAAATTGTTTATCCCACATGATAGAATATGGCACGTTAATTATCAACATGTCTGTATCAACTGCCTGCGGGAATTACGTCATACCATATTTCATCTTAGTCATCTCGGTGTCGGCTTCTAATCACAGCTTCAGCTGCAGGTTGGCTATTGAGCTGCAGACAATTAATGTTGTGCCACTTGATCATGTCCCATGTGAGGCATTCAAGCAGTGATGAATTCAACATGTTGAATTACTCCATGTTGCCAGTGTCACAAAAAGGAACGATCGGTGTCAATTCAGCAGAGAATTATCACCGACAGATAATAATACAGTTCTGACTCAGTTTTCTTCAATATTTCATATTATTCGAGAGAAATGTTTTCAAGATCCGGGATGAACATGAACAAGCCCTCCTGGGTTATATTATTAATCTTGTAATCGACCAAGCATTTCATCTTCTGGAGGGAAGTGGAGCTGGGAATTATTATTTTCTATTTTAATTCTTCTCAACAATTGCTGAAAAAATTATAACCCTGCTGCACACATACCTGAAAAAGGATTAGCTGTTCATTAAACATCAACACATATGTCGATGTATTTCTCGGGGGGGGGGGGACATATTCTGTCCCTCCCATCCACCTGCCCGCCAAAGATAACATGGTTTCATGGGTTCATTTCTGACGCAACAAGTACTCCCTTGATGTAATGGGTGGTAAAACTAGGCATGTGATATTTCTGCCTCAAGTCGGTATTCCGTCTTTTTTTATTGTTTTCGTCTGATGTTTCAATGTCAAACATCATCTGTGGGAGGTGAACACAGTTTTGTGTCTTACATTCCAGGCAAAGAAGAGAAATCTTTTCAATCTTCTGGGCATTCGTCAATCAGAATTATTTTCCTCTCTCAGTTTCATATTATTCTTATGAGACACTTTCTGCATGCATCAGTAGATGGTTAAAGGGGGATGCAAGATGGATGTGCCTACATGATGTGTGGGCAGTAGTAGTCCTCACATGTCTTATCACATGACAATCACAGGGAGAAAAACAGGGGGATTAAGCAGTGGGTGTAATGATTTCTGATGGATGAGAGGTTATCAGTTGATATCTTCCAACAGTGGGATATCATGTTTCAGGTGGTAATGACACCTGCCACAGTGACAGCTATCTTTCAGTTGTGTGAATAATTGATAGAAATATTTGCATGAGCAGTGTTGCTTGCCCTGTGCATGCCAAGCTGAAGGCATGGATTTAAAGGCTAAGCGAGTCATATACTGGTACTGGCTAAAACTGAATTATTGAAGGATCATTTAAGTGTGAATCAGACTGTAAAAACACTTCTCTTTTACCATTTTGTTTCTTATCATTTCAGATGATTGCCATTGTGACATTTTGATCCAATTCATATCAATTTATTAAATTGGTACACAATAGTCTGGTGTTTTCCGAACATTTTCACAAAAGAATTTATGAATACTTCAATCAATTTACATGACACCTTCCAACTTTTTCTTAATAAACAGATGATTTTTTACCTGTTTGTGATGGAAATTGAACTCAATTATACCAGGAATAAGAAGCTTTAGAATTTCACAGCTTGAGTTTGAAAAAACACAGAAGTTTGAGAAGAAAGATGAAAATGTCTTCCACATCAATGGCCTCAGTGGATCCATCTGACAGTGATCATCTGGTCTTGATAGAGAGAAAAAACACACACCGCCAGTTTCAATATTTGTGCTGTTTGATTTAGCAAAGTGTGGTGTTTCTGGGATGAAAGCGTTATCAAATTATGAAATGCACCCTGTAGAGATGCATCCAAACAAATCAATAAATCCGAATGCCGTCCGTCCTCGCTTAAACTCGAGCAGAGTGCACTGTTCTCGACACCACCACTCCTCCTCAACAAGCAACTAGCACAGCCAACCATTCCTGGTCCTAGAAAATCAATATTCCATGTAATGAATATTTATCAGCTACTGTCGGAGGGTTGTTGGATCAGTCAGCGTCAGTCTAATTCAAGCCATCTCGTGTTGTCGACTGGACAAAGGAATAGACTAGCACTGATCATCATCATAGCCTGTTGTGTTGCATCCCCTTCACCCCACTACAATGGAGGTAGGTTCCCATGTGCTACCCGACCCTGTATTGTTGCTGATCGGTCGAGGGTGGAGAAGAGAGGGATATGATGCTTCCTCTACAATGGACCAGTTACATCAGCAGCCTTGTGCTCTTCTCCTCGGATCACTCGCCTACATGCCGGGAAAGATTTAGCGGAGTTGCCGGTGGAATTATACCCAGGGTTGCTGTAGAGTTACAGGTTGGATGGAGATGATGGAATGGTGGCCGACATGGCTACTAGTTTATCATAATGTGGAGCTGACGGCGGCAGTATGGGTTCGTGGACCACGTTGTCTTGTAAGGGAGGATGGTGGTGCCGGTGCCGGTCATGATGCTATTGGGATCATTCTAAGATGGGCTCTTCTACATGTGGTCTGGGACATGTTTTTTCATCATGGAACCCTTTGACATTGGAACCTTGCCTTGCTAGGGTGGAATGATACAATAGAATAGAATAATTGGTGCTTGATGGATTTTAGATAGTCATAGAAAATTATTGGAATTAAGAATTCTGAATACTCGATGTGGAACATTCTTTCTGAAAGTGACGCAATCCTGGTTATGACATGGGGAATATTAGATCTTTTAGTTTTAAAGAGCGTAGGCGTTGAAAGTAAGTTAATTTAGCAGGAATGTGGAAACACAGGTACACCTACACAGTTGTGTGGGTTGTCAAGTAGGTCTGAAACATAATCTTTAGAACTGGTGTGTGATACTAAGCATCCTGTGTGAGATGCTTGTCTGTGAATGGGGGCGGTGGGGTAGTCTAGTGGTTAATGCATTTGCTCATCACACTACAGGTCTGAGTTCAATTCCCCACATGGGTAAAATGTGGGAAATCCCTTTCTGGTGTCCCAGACATGATATTGCTTAACCATACTGACTCAAAGCGGGTCTTCAATGATATTCGTCAACATGTCCAGAGGTTTTATTTGGGAAAGTTCCCAGTGTGGTGATGAAGGTCAGCCTCGCCAACACAGGATGTGAGAGATCACATCACCTCTGATGATTGTCGGAAGTTGTTACCTCTCATTTACATCATGCTGCTTATCATGATCCATCTGTCGCTTCTAAAGTTGATGTCACCAGCTTCGTGCAGCCAGGAATCCCAGCCCACACAGTCACGATGTTATAGCTAGTCTGACCTTTTGTGGTGGAAAAATATTACAGATAAATTAGTATGTCTTCTTCCAAACCGTATGAATTATTCTCTCAACGGAAAGATATTTCTAGATATAATGTGAAAAAACTCATTGGGATACATTTTTGTTCCTTCATCAATTTATATGAAGTAGAATATTGTAAATTGATCAATTATTCAGGTCGTCAAGGTTTTTCTGTGGGAAGACTTAGAAAATAACTTTGATGGCAAAACTGACATGGATTTCAACTACTTTCCTCTGTCAGTTTGACATTTTGGTATATACTTTGCATTGAAAGAAAACAGCAGTTGAAATCCATAGGTCTGCACTGATGCTACAATGACACTTAAAGATAACATGTTACATGGTGTGATTACCTCATCTTGTCAACAAGGGGGTCACAATAACCCTGGGGGCCAACTGTGACCCAACAGGCTGCTGTTTCTGGTGCTTCTTGACGTCTGCCAACATGACTCATTCATTCAGCCAGTGTTATTGTTCCCTGTTTGTGCTGTGTCTGTAAAGTGGCTGTTCTCACTGTTGAATCAGCGTGTACCATCAATTACCGTAACGAATTACAACATTCTGCGAGCCAGTGTATAATCTCATTTTCAATAGTAAAGTTAACTTACGATCCTCAATGTTCAGATGCGACTGATGCTGAAGGATTAGCATGGAAAAGTAGTTCCTAGACTGTTATGCAGATACTTATGTTTTAGAATTTGAACAGAGCCCATATTAAGTACTGATAGATATAAACATCTTCTTTCTGTATATTCTAAGATTTATGCAAATATCTAGATTTCCTCACAGACCAAGACGCGAACATTGCTTCCTTGTAATGTTGCTTTAATAAAGGTACAAGTATCACTTCATGGTTGATGGATTGAGAATGCATATTTTGGTTATTTCCTGTGAACAAGTATCTAAGTGTTCATTTCTCTGTTTCAGAACACTAACAATCAGTCTGCTCCCAATGAAGGTCTGACGTTCAGTGACAAGCGCCGCTTCTTTGAGAAGGAAATCAAGGAACAGAATGAACCTAAAACACAAAGTAAGTGATACGAGTGTACCACATTCTGGATGTTGAATGTTGTCAACTTGTTGTTGTGTCTTGCATCAACCTGTCTATTTCTATTCTTAGATTTGTTTAAACATCATTCTATTGATTCCTTAAATCACTACAAATTCACATTTTGAAGAAATTCTTTAATGCGTAATATACACTGCAATCAGTAAAATCTATGGAAAAATAATAATTGGTGTGTCTGTCATCTATACTTGTTTCTTTTGCTGTGATCTGTCTCTTTATCTTTTATGTCTGCTTAGATATCTTGCTTGTAATTGACCTGTACATTCTCTGGCATTGGGTTGTGAGTAGTTTTAAGATAGTAGTAGAAAAGCTAGCTAGCTTGCATGTCTGTCTGTGTGGACTTCCTGTGATGGCTGAGCAGCAACGGAGCAGACCCCCATCTAACTGGCCGAGGGACGGAGAGCCAGTCAGGTTTGATTTCTCTCTGTGACACATTATTGTTAAAAGATGATTAAAGAAGTTTGGTGATGTATCCAGCTGTGCTTTGACTGGTCTCAGTGCAACTTGTCAGGAAACAATTGGAGTTTTCAGTTTTCTGAGAACCTTAATGGAAACATGAACAGTGAACCATCAGGACTATGATTTGACTCTTCATCAATTCCTTGTCACTGTCACTGTTTTCCTTGGACAATGTAAAAAGCTTTTCATTTTGGCCATCACCACTTCAATAGAGGTGTGGAACCTGTTTAACTTGAAGTTGCACTGAAGACACCTATCTCTTGACACTTGTTGATTTAAGAACGGCCAAGTCCCTGACCCAATACCCGTACACAATCAAGTGACTTATTTCTAATTGGGATCTCCCTTTCCTAATTTCTTGCAGCAAAAAAATTTAGCTACTTGGCTGAACATGAGGTGGCAAAACTGAAACTGGAAGAGGGTGAGTTGACCACAAAACAAACACAAGACCATGACCCTTCACACTTGACCCTTCACACATAACACATGCACTTGACCTTGCAATTCTAGGCTGGCTCATATAGGACATCACCATGTCCCCGGGGCTATAACAACTTTCAAGCACAAATAAAGACAAAGCAATACCTATAAGAAAACAACCAGAAAGATATTTTGAAGATAAGAAACATGCAAGTTAAATGAAAGAATGCTTTGGGAAAATACAGCCCAAGTAAACATCGAGGTTATGTAAAAGAAATGGACTCCTGTCTACAATCATATGTTTTTGCTCCTATGTTATGAGATCCTTATTGCTGTAATTACTTTGGGGAGTAAGGTATCAGTAACAACAGAGTTATGTCTGATTACTTCAGGGACTGATTAATGATTACTTTGGGAAAAGCCCCCTTTATGTATGCATACAACCATACAATCAACTGTCCTTGTAATCAAACAAACATGAACAGGGTAACTGACAGCATTGACCACTAGATTTGTGAAGATAATTGTAATTCATCTATCTAATATAATCCATAAATATAGCCGTGGAGAAGTGTATCAGTCTGTCTAAAAAATACACAAGTATATACCTGGAGAAGTGTATCTACCTGTCTTAATAATCTACAAGTATATTCACGGAGAAGTGTATCAGCCTGTCTAAATAATCCACAAGTAGATCCCTGGAGAAGTGTATCAGCCTGTCTAAATAGTCCACAAGCATATCCCTGGAGAAGTGTATCAGCCTGTCTAAATAATCCACAAGCATATCCCTGGAGAAGTGTATCAGCCTGTCTAAATAATCCACAAGTATATCCCAGGAGAAGTGTATCAACATGTCTAAATAATCCACAAGTATATCCCTGGAGAAGTGTATCTCCCTGTCTAAATAATCCACAAGTATATCCGTGGAGAAGTGTATCAGCCTGTCTAAATAGTCCACAAGTATATCCCTGGAGAAGTGTATCAACCTGTCTAAATAATCCACAAGTATATCCGTGGAGAAGTGTATCAGCCTGTCTAAATAGTCCACAAGTACATCCGTGGAGAAGTGTATCAGCCTGTCTAAATAGTCCACAAGTACATCCGTGGAGAAGTGTATCAACATGTCTAAATAATCCACAAGTATATCCCTGGAGAAGTGTATCAACATGTCTAAATAATCCACAAGTATATCCCTGGAGAAGTGTATCAACCTATCTAAATAATCAACAAGCATTTCCCTGGAGAAGTGTATCAACCTGTCTAAATAGTCCACAAGTACATCCGTGGAGAAGTGTATCAGCTTGTCAAAATAATCCACAAGTATATCCCTGGAGAAGTGTATCAACCTATCTAAATAATCCACAAGTATATCCCTGGAGAAGTGTATCAGCCTGTCTAAACAGTCCACAAATCTATCCCAGGAGAAGTGTATCTACCTGTCTAAATAATCCACAAGTATATCCGTGGAGAAGTGTATCTACCTGTCTAAATAATCCACAAGTATATCTGTGGAGAAGTGTATCAGCCTGTCTAAATAATCCACAAGTGTATCCCCAGAGAAGTGTATCTACCTGTCTAAATGATCAACAAGTATATCCCCGGAGAAATGTATCAGCCTGTCTAAATAATCAACAAGTATATCCCTGGAGAAGTGTATCAGCCTGTCTAAGTAATCCACAAGTATATCCCTGGAGAAGCGTATAGATCTACCTGTCTAAATAATCCACAAGTATATATCCGTGGAGAAGTGTATCTACGTGACTAAATAATCAACAAGTAGATCCCTGGAGAAGTGTATCTCCCTGTCTAAATAATCCACAAGTATATCCCTGGAGAAGTGTATCTACCTGTCTAAATAATCCACAAGTATATATCCCTGGAGAAGTGTATCAACCTGTCTAAATAATCAACAAGCATATCCCTGGAGAAGTGTATCTACCTGTCTAAATAATCCACAAGTAGATCCCTGGAAAAGTGTATCTCCCTGTCTAAATAATCCACAAGTATATCCCTGGAGAAGTGTATCTACCTGTCTAAATAATCCACAAGTATATATCCCTGGAGAAGTGTATCAACCTGTCTAAATAATCAACAAGCATATCCCTGGAGAAGTGTATCTCCCTGTCTAAATAATCCACAAGTATATCCCTGGAGAAGTGTATCAACCTGTCTAAATAATCCACAAGTATATCCCTGGAGAAGTGTATCAACCTGTCTAAATAGTCCACAAGCATATCCCCGGAGAAATGTATCTCCCTGTCTAAATAATCCACAAGTATATCCCCGGAGAAATGTATCAACCTGTCTAAATAATCCACAAGCATATCCCTGGAGAAGTGTATCAACCTGTCTAAATAATCCACAAGCATATCCCTGGAGAAGTGTATCTACCTGTCTAAATAATCCACAAGTAGATCCCTGGAAAAGTGTATCTCCCTGTCTAAATAATCCACAAGTATATCCCCAGAGAAGTGTATCAACCTGTCTAAATAATCCACAAGTATATCCCTGGAGAAGTGTATCAACCTGTCTAAATAGTCCACAAGCATATCCCTGGAGAAGTGTATCTACCTGTCTAAATAATCCACAATTATATCCGTGGAGAAGTGTATCAGCCTGTCTAAATAATCCACAAGTATATCCCTGGAGAAGTGTATCAACCTGTCTAAATAATCCACAAGCATATCCCTGGAGAAGCGTATCTACCTGTGTAAATAATCCACAAGTATATATCCGTGGAGAAGTGTACCTACCTGTCTAAATAATCCACAAGTATATCCCTGGAGAAGTGTATCTACCTGTCTAAATAATCCACAAGTATATCTGTGGAGAAGTGTATCAGCCGGTCTAAATAATCCACACGTGTATCCCCAGACAAGTGTATCTACCTGTCTAAATGATCCACAAGTATATCCCTGCAGAAGTGTATCAGCCTGTCTAAATAATCCACAAGTATATCCCTGGAGAAGTGTATCAGCCTGTCTAAGTAATCCACAAGTATATCCCTGGAGAAGCGTATCTACCTGTCTAAATAATCCACAAGTATATATCCGTGGAGAAGTGTATCTACGTGACTAAATAATCCACAAGTTTATCCCTGGAGAAGTGTATCAACATGTCTAAATAATCAACAAGCATATCCCTGGAGAAGTGTATCTACCAGTCTAAATAATCCACAAGTAGATCCCTGGAGAAGTGTATCTCCCTGTCTAAATAATCCACAAGTATATCCCTGGAGAAGTGTATCAACCTGTCTAAATAGTCCACAAGCATATCCCTGGAGAAGTGTATCTACCTGTCTAAATAATCCACAATTATATCCCTGGAGAAGTGTATCAACCTGTCTAAATAATCCACAAGTATATCCCTGGAGAAGCGTATCTACCTGTCTAAATAATCCACAAGTATATATCCGTGGAGAAGTGTATCTACCGGTCTAAATAATCCACAAGTATATCCCTGGAGAAGTGTATCTACCTGTCTAAATAATCCACAAGTATATCTGTGGAGAAGTGTATCAGCCGGTCTAAATAATCCACAAGTGTATCCCCAGAGAAGTATATCTACCTGTCTAAATGATCCACAAGTATATCCCCGGAGAAATGTATCAGCCTGTCTAAATAATCCACAAGTATATCCCTGGAGAAGTGTATCAGCCTGTCTAAGTAATCCACAAGTATATCCCTGGAGAAGCGTATCTACCTGTCTAAATAATCCACAAGTATATATCCGTGGAGAAGTGTATCTACCGGTCTAAATAATCCACAAGTATATCCCTGGAGAAGTGTATCTACCTGTCTAAATAATCCACAAGTATATCTGTGGAGAAGTGTATCAGCCGGTCTAAATAATCCACAAGTGTATCCCCAGAGAAGTATATCTACCTGTCTAAATGATCCACAAGTATATCCCCGGAGAAATGTATCAGCCTGTCTAAATAATCCACAAGCATATCCCTGGAGAAGTGTATCAACCTGTCTAAATAATCCACAAGCATATCCCTGGAGAAGTGTATCTACCTGTCTAAATAATCCACAAGTAGATCCCTGGAAAAGTGTATCTCCCTGTCTAAATAATCCACAAGTATATCCCCAGAGAAGTGTATCAACCTGTCTAAATAATCCACAAGTATATCCCTGGAGAAGTGTATCAACCTGTCTAAATAGTCCACAAGCATATCCCTGGAGAAGTGTATCTACCTGTCTAAATAATCCACAATTATATCCGTGGAGAAGTGTATCAGCCTGTCTAAATAATCCACAAGTATATCCCTGGAGAAGTGTATCAACCTGTCTAAATAATCCACAAGCATATCCCTGGAGAAGCGTATCTACCTGTCTAAATAATCCACAAGTATATATCCGTGGAGAAGTGTACCTACCTGTCTAAATAATCCACAAGTATATCCCTGGAGAAGTGTATCTACCTGTCTAAATAATCCACAAGTATATCTGTGGAGAAGTGTATCAGCCGGTCTAAATAATCCACACGTGTATCCCCAGACAAGTGTATCTACCTGTCTAAATGATCCACAAGTATATCCCTGCAGAAGTGTATCAGCCTGTCTAAATAATCCACAAGTATATCCCTGGAGAAGTGTATCAGCCTGTCTAAGTAATCCACAAGTATATCCCTGGAGAAGCGTATCTACCTGTCTAAATAATCCACAAGTATATATCCGTGGAGAAGTGTATCTACGTGACTAAATAATCCACAAGTTTATCCCTGGAGAAGTGTATCAACATGTCTAAATAATCAACAAGCATATCCCTGGAGAAGTGTATCTACCAGTCTAAATAATCCACAAGTAGATCCCTGGAGAAGTGTATCTCCCTGTCTAAATAATCCACAAGTATATCCCTGGAGAAGTGTATCAACCTGTCTAAATAGTCCACAAGCATATCCCTGGAGAAGTGTATCTACCTGTCTAAATAATCCACAATTATATCCCTGGAGAAGTGTATCAACCTGTCTAAATAATCCACAAGTATATCCCTGGAG